TCTACCCAGGAGCAGAAAAAAAGACTTCACTGACTTTCATCTAAGTGGATTCAAACAACTGACTAACTATTCAGTTACATTTTCAGCAGCAAGCCTCCCCAGTACAGCATACATCACTGTGTTAATTTCTCTTTGTCCACCTTTGTATAACAATTATGGCATCCCAGCAGCTGCTAGCAGAGAAAGATTTTCTTCCCCCTACTGACAGAGACTGAACCTGCACTGGATGCTGGAGGCATTGCCATGACAACAAGCTGTACCTGATCCTGCCTTTGGCTGAAGACAAGCAGAACCGAACAGTGACATTCGTGACTGATAGCCTGAAGTTTCTCTAACAACAAATGAACTTTCTCGCCAGAACTGTACTTCACAATAAAAAAAACATTGGACTTGATAACTGTTGAACATGGGGACTATATGATATTGGGAAAGATACTGTTTCTTTGTAAATGAATCAAATGTTGTTGAAACCAACGTTAACACTCTCAAAACTTTGTAATCTATTTGGCTTAGCAATCCCTTGTTTTCATGGCTCCTATCTCTTATTGCCCTGTGATGATACTGTGTATTGTGCTTGCTTACTGTTTTAAGATTTCTTTGCTGACAGTTACTGCCATTTGCTAAAAATCACTACAGGAAACAGGTCATGGTCAGTTATCAAACTTTAGATTCTCCCGAGATGAAATGAGTTGACCCTTAGGGTTGGCATGGCACTTCTTCATATTTAAATCAAAAGAGGAGGGGATATTGGGGGCCCCTGCTGTGAAGTAGAAGTCCCTTCACGTCCAGACAGCTCACGCAGCTCGGAATCATGTGCTGAGACTCCTTTCAGCAGAGTACCTGGCATCCTTCCTGACTCCTTTTGAAGTGCCCACCACAAATGCCATAACATAAACATGGCCTCTGGCTTTAGGAATACCATGCTTTCCTGTGATTTTTCAGGTGACAGCAGTCTGGCAGAAACCCACTTCCATATGTAAATACAATGTCTCACAAAGTACCTAACAAAGTATCTATCAGCCAAAGCTTTTACCACTACCCCCATGGTATAAATATCCCAGTCTTTCTCTCAATATCAGAGAGCTGGGTCGCAGAGAGCTGGATCAATAGAGAGCTGGACAGCAAGGAGCTGGAGCAGAGACACTTAATAAAGCTGTAACACAGACTAAGCCGAGTCTTGAGTCTTGTGTCTTACTACCGGCAACCCAGCCTCTCCAGGGGGCGCACTCCTCTGTTACCAACTTGCGGACATCCTAGCTTTCGCCGTCCTCGTGCTCTTCCCGCGTGGTCCAATGGCCAGTGGACCTCACTTCCTGAGGAAAGTACACGGGTGAATTAAGGGCGGGATTCGGCTCGACAACGCTCCAGCAGTGGAGACTTTCAGCACCGGAGCAGCGGAGAAGCCTGCAGACCCGCCGTGCCATTCTGGGAGTGCGCCCAGCGCACGCGCTCACCTATAGGTTGCCCTGAAAAGTAAGCTGGAAAGGCCCACACCAAAATGGGCTCTAACCCATTTTAAGCCTTAACTGACTGCTCCTGGAGGAGTTACTGGGGACAGGGGAGTCTTTGATAGAAAGATGGCTGAGACTTTACAGCAAGAAAGGACAGCATTGTACACACATACTTTTCAATGAGACCTTTCCAGAATGTTCCCTAATGTCTTCCACAGGACTTTTTCTTCAGAAGATAAGCAGGATGGGATGTGGTCATCTGTGAAGCCAGGTTTATGGGTTCACAGTCTTGAATGGTTTTTTTTGTTTGTTTTTTGTTTTGCTTTGGTTTTTTGTCTCTTTGAGACAGAGTCTCCCTGTAGCAGATTCATGGTCTTAATTCTTCCCTGTGCACCCTGTGTCTTCTGAGAGGGGGACACTTAGGGAGCTTGGGCTGAGAGAGAAGGATGATAAGCTGGGCAGGAGAAGGAGAGCTAGGGTTGATGACAACCCTATTTCTCCAGGAACAATTCCAAGTGAGGAGGCAGGAGGCTCTGGAAAGAGGGTGGGAGCTCTATAAGACTCGGGTCCATCCCCAATCTCTGGTACCCCTACGATACCATGGTGGTGGACATAGTTTCCATATCAGTGCATCCACATGGCCCTAGCCCTTATCTTGGGCCTCCTTGCTCATGACTGTGTTGTCTAAGGCCCAGAGGCCTTGACAGGGACATCCTGCTCCTCGTCCCCCTCCTCCACATCCCTGCAGCACTTGCTGCAGCACAGCACTTATAGTCACACACCATGCAGCACACAGGGCAGCATACACAGGAACAGCAGCAGCAGCGCCCCAGGAAGCAGGTGGTTAGTCAGCAGGGAGACAACACTGAATAATTCTCAAAACCTAGCAGTAGGATGGGTTCAAGTTGCCAGTGAAGAAACTTTTGATCTAAAGTTCAGACTAATGAAGGAGGGAAAAAATTAACTACAAGAGAATCAACTTAATGCTCATGATGAATGCATTAGACTTCTATTGCTGCACAATAAATTACAACAAAGTTTTAAAAAGCTTAACAGTAGGAAAACAACTCAACTTTATAAAAGGGGCACAGGTGCCAAACAAGCACAGGATAGCAACATGAGAAATATAAATGAAATGTACTGTCTTCTTATCAAAGGGTTAAATGAGACTAAGAAAGTTCCACATTCTAAAAACACCATCTGGCAAAACTCCCTCCACAGTCAACATTTTCCTAAGATTAAAGTTTTTGCTCAAGATTTCATCCTGTTCTCAAAAGCTACATTTTGCATATCAGCTGCACTGTTTTGAATTAGTCAACAGGGTAAGAATGTGAGGCTGAGCTATGGCCACCGTGAGGCACAGGACCCCTCTGTGTTAGGCCTAAAAACCCAGTGAGACCCCCGCTGAGTGTGCTTGCTTGATGGGTTGAAAGCAGCTTTGCATCCTTCTGAAGAAGTAAAACTTTTTGACTTATGGAAATACTTTGGATTATGTGGTCATTTTCATGAGACCCCAGACACATTTCTAACATCAATGTCAGGGGAATTCAAAGTAAAAGCATGCACACATATTAGAATGGGAAACAGGATACCAAATGTGTTTAAAGACACTTAGCAAGTAGTAGCCTTATTTCATGATGGCAGAAATGCATCACTCTGGAAAATGGTTTGTCGGTCTCTGATACACATTATAAACCACATGAACCAGCACTCCTATTGCTAAGAAAAATAAAACATTATACTCATATAAAACTTTATCAAGTAGCTGGAAAGATGGCCCAGTAGGTAAAAGTGCATCCTATGCATGCCTGAGAATTGGAATTCAAATCCTCATCACCCACAGAAAAATCTGGGCATGGCTACATATGCCTTAACCCCACATTAGGGGGTGGGGAAGGAAAGACAGGCAAATCCTGGGCATTTGCTGGCCAGCCTGCCTAGCCAAAATGGCAAGCAGTTTGGTGAGAGGCCCTGTCTGCAGGCAATAAGGTAGACAGGGACAGAGGAAGACACCTGACTTCCTTCTCTGATCTCCACGTGGCACACACACTCACATATGCACCACATGCACAATTAAAGAAAAACTTCCACACATGAAATGTTTATAGCTGCTTTATTTATGATCGTTTGAAAACAATCCAAATGCAGTATGTAGTGAAATAGACCACGTATTGATACACAGAATGAGTACATCAGAAAGGCAAATGCTCTCAGAGAAGCCAGACTCAAAGACACTTCCACACTTCATGATTTCTTTTATGTAGCATTCTGCAAAAGGCAACACTACAATGGCAGGGATCAGTGGCTCCCAGGAGTCAAGGATAGGGAGGTGACTTTATGAAGAGGAAGAACACACATCCATGAGTGTCTTAGTGTAACATACTGTGCTCTGTACCCTGTCTGTGGTTCCGACTGTGTCCTCTGCTTCCTTCTAGTCCTGTGAACAGCTGTCTATCGAGACCCCTCCACCACAACAGGAACCTCCCTGATAAACCTTTTCTCCTTTTAGTTCTGTAATATATTTTGGCAACAATGAAGCAAAACTAAGTAGTACCCAACTCAAATGTACTAAGAAATTCCTACACCAACTTTCCCAGACCCTTAATTAATTCTCACCTCTTTATTAGAGTTGTTCCTGGAAAAAGTTATTCGTTCTCACGGTCTTGGTGTCCTAACATTCCACTTCCTCCTTAACCCACAAAGGGTTAGGTGTCCTATCACGTGGCCTTTTCGATCTTGCTTTCCCGTTTTTCATCTATGCCCCTTCCACTCCTACGAACCCTTCTCTGGGTTCTAGATTTAGCACCTCACTCAACATAGACTGTGTGGTCTGACCCTGTCCACTTTCATAGTACATAAAACATACTTTATAATCCTCCAAACCACAATACCAGCCATAAAATCCTTCCCAAGGAACAGAAGCAGATGTCCAACTCCATCTTGAGAGATGGGGATGTAGCTCAGTGATGCAGCTGCTGCGTGGCATGTGCAAAGCCTGGGTTTGATCCCCACCACTGACAAAACAAAGCTGAACAGAATCCTTTTATCTAAGTTTTGGTTTTACTAGGTACTCTTCAAAGAAAAACTTCATACATAATCATTGTCATACTTTATTGGAAATTGGTTGCATACATCAATGAAATATGATCAAAGTCAAACAACATTTTGACATAATACTATCTTAATATCTGTGTTATCTTCTTACATAACTTAATAAATCCCAGGATGCTCCCAATTTGGGGTATATAATGAACTTGAATGGTCCAGAAATAATCTCTATATAAATACAAATCATAGCATCTAAAACAATCATCACTGTTTTTACTTAGATTCTAAAGTCCCAGGAATCTCTTAAAATATAAGTACTTTAGATGGCTGCAGTGCTGGTGGGAGGGAGGGAGAGGAATCCATGCAGAACTAGTAGGGCTTGGGCTGTAGCTCAGTGGTAGAATGCTCACCTGGCATTAAAGAGGCCCTAAGTTCAATCTCCAGTGCCACAAAAAAATAATAGCAAAACCATGAAACTAATGACAGCAGCTGGAACAGAAGGACAGTGTCTCTCCTGTGGGGCACACAAGGGAATAAGGGCTGAAAAGCTGGGCAGGAAACTCAGCCACCCTGCATTTCCAACACTACTTGAGTGTCAACACTGAAAGAGACATGACACTCAGGACAGAAAGAAACTCATCAGCTCAGTTCTTTTGGCACTGTAAAATAATGGCAAGGCATTCCTCGGGATTACACAGTAGCAGAGACTCTGGCACAGACAATGTTCTGGAAATTTCTACTCATCTCTCTCCTCCTGCCACATTCAGCTCTCTACCCCTAATTGAGAAAAGTGGAGGGAGGCTCATGTCACAGAAAACAACTTTGAGTCGATGAAGATGGGTGCATTGTGCATGGCTTGATGCGAGGAGCACTGGCTAAGGCTGCTCTGTCCCTAGTCTCCCTCACCGTCATTAAAGCCATCACCAGTGGGGTCTTTGGTTCTTTAAAGCTTCTTATCACTTGATATAACACCTGTTTGTCTGTGGTGGCTTCCACACTCATAAACAGCTTTCACCTCCACTAAGTCATGTGGTTCTCAAAACCCTATGAGGTAGGAGGGCAGGGATCATGACTCCTGGTTGAAAATTAAGGAACCTGGTGCTCATAGAGTTAGATCCCTCAACCAAATCCACACAGTTGCTCAGTCACAGAATCAAAACTAAAACCCAGGTCCAACCCACTGAGTCTTTCCCACTGTTTTTCTGAAAACAGGCTGGAGGGGGGGCTCATGGCCCTATCCCATGCCAGCCTTCCTGGGAGGTTCTCAGGCAGCCCCATTGAGAACCGGATGAGTCCGCATTCTATAGATAATGACTGCAGTGGCTGGACACAGCAACAAGGAGGTCATGATGACAATGGTGGCCAGGATGATGAGGACAATGGCCCAGATGTCCAGGATGTGCTTGGGAAGCATGACATCCACAGGGGATTGGCTGGTGGCATCCATGTTGGTTCTGGAATGGACAGAAAAGGAAAGTCAATTCTGTATTCTCTCCCTGCCTCCCTACTTGGAAGGAACTCTCCAAGAATTAGACTTGTTTGTGATCATTAAAGGTAACGATAGTGACTTTATTTGCTGGGGGCCTCCTATTACCACACTTACACAAAGCACTTTAAAAATTACTTTTATTACTTTATTAACTGCATGTCTATGTCTGTGCCTCTCTCTCTCACACACTCTCTCTCTCCCTCCCTCCCTCCCTCCCTCCCTCTCTCTCTCTCTCTTTCTCTGTGTGTGTACTACCTGAGAGTGTCCAACAGGAACCAGAAGACATCAGATCCCCTGGAGTTGGAGTTATAGGCAGCTGTAAGTTACCCACTCCATGTGCTGGTAACAGAACTCTGGTCCTCTACGTGAGTGACAAGTGCTTTTATCCACTGAACCATCTCTCTAGGCCCTTGTGCAAGTCACTTTATTAAGTCAGTCTATCCCCACCAACTCCATGAAGAGACTGCAATAGCCATCCGTTTTGTTTCTTAGTCTTTACCTTCAGCTATCCCCGTTTTGCAAAGAGTCAAAACCTTAAAAAATGCTGCTATCATTAATTTGAGGAAGTGAACCCTGACAGATGGAACCTCCATGCTTGCTTGTTAAGCTGCCAGTCTGCTCCCCTGGTCTATAAAAATGAGAGCTCACTGCTTTTTAATCTATGCCCCAATGCCTATTGTTTTTAGTGGGGTGGGGGCACTTTCATGTGTAGAAGCACACATGCACATGTATACTGTGTGTGCACAGGCCATAGGACAACTTGGATGTCAATCCTCAGGTGCCGTCCATTTTTCTAGGGGTATTTTTAAAAACAGATGTCTAGGGGCTGGAGAGATGACTCAGTGGTTAAGAGCACTGACTCTTCTTGCAGAGGACCTGGGTTTGATTCCCAGCACCCACATGGCGACTACAAACCATCCTTAACTCCAGTTCCAGAGGAATCTGAAGCCCTCTTCTGACCTCTGTGGCACTGCATGACATGGGTGCACTCACATACAAGCAGGCAATACACTCATACACACAAAATAAAAATAATAAATACTTTAAAAAATAGATATCTATATTTTTATTGGGCAGGGAGTAAAACAGAAAGCAGACCTATTCTGGGCCCTGTGGCAGCTTCTTGTTCCACAGGGTTAAAGAAGACTTTGAGGAAATAAAAGTTGTTTGGGAAAATCCGGTTTGCCCTGCATGTTGGGATGGGTAGGAAGGGGAGGGAGTAGAAAGAAGCCAGAAGACCTTTGATGTGGTCTAGATCAAAGGCTAGATCAAAGGCAAGTTCTTTCCAGGTGTTTACCAACTAGTTCTACTCTCTTGAACACCAGGGTGTCATCTCCTCTTCAGGGAACCTCTAATAATTCTCATTGCTTCTGTTCCCATTTCTCAAGCCCACACGACATCATTTGATTTTGTTGCCTTGAAATTCCATTTTATGATGCTGCTTCTGTAAGACTATAATAAATAAAAAGTTTTATCATTTAAAAAAAAAATGCTGCTGGGCATGGTGGTGCATACCTTTAATCCCAGCACTCGGGAGGCAGAGGCAGGTGGATCTCTGTGAATTCAAGGCCAACCTGGTGTACATAGTGAGTTCCAGGACAGCTGGGGCTACAGGGAGACCCTGACTCAAAAGACCGGAAAAAAAAAAAAAGGTCTATGGAAATGAACAGAGAGTTCTTAAAGGAAGAAATACAAATGGCCAATAAATATTTTTTAAAGTGGTCAACATCTTTGGCATTAGAGAAATGAAAATTAAAACTAGTCTGAGGTTCAATCTCACCCCAGTCAGACTGGCCATCATCAAGAAAACACGTGGGAACAAATACTGATAAGGATGTGGGGAATGGGACCCCTGATTCACTGTTGGTGAGTATAAACTCTTGTAGCCACAATGGAAACCAATCTGGAGGCTTCTCAAAAAACTAAACATAGAACTACCATATGAAACAGAGGGAAAACTCCCAAAGTCCTTCCATGAAGCCAACATCACTCTAATACCAAAACCAGGTAAAGATACAACCAAAAAAGAAAACTATAAACCCATATCCTTAATGAATATAGATGCAAAAATTCTCAGCAAAATACTTGCAAATCATATACAGTTGTACATCAAAAAAATCATTCACCATGATTAAGTAGACTTTATTCCAGAGATGCAGGGATGGTTCAATATACATTAAGTTAATAAACATCATAAATCATATAAATGGACTCAAAGACAACCACATAGTCATCTCAATAGATGCAGAAAAGGCTTTCGACAAAATTCAGCATGCATTCATGATAAAAGTTCTAAAGGGAATTGGACTAGAAGGAGCATACCTCAACATAATTAAAGCTATATACAACAAACCCACAGCCAACATAATTCTAAATGAAAGAAAACTGAAAGTATTCCCATTAAAATCAGGAACCAGACAAGGATGGCCACTGTCTCCACTCCTTTTCAACATAGTGTTTAAAACTCCTGCTAGAGCAATAAAACAGGAAAAGGAAATTAAAGGAGTACTAATTGGAAAAGAAGAGGTCAGATTATCCCTTTTGGCAGATAATATGACACTATGCCTAAGAGTTGCCAAAAATTCCACCAGAAAACTCCTAGAACTGATCAACACTTTCAATAAACTAGCAAGTTACAAAATTAATCTACAAAAATCAGTAGCCTTTCTATATACCAATAACAAACAATCAGAGAAAGAGTATAGGGAAATGCTCCCATTCACGACAGCCTCAAAAACAACAACAACAAAAATTGGAATAAACCTGATATCAAAGATCTCTACAATGAAAATTTTAAAGCTTAAAAGAAAGAGATTGAGGAAGATACCAGAAGATGGAAGGACCTCCCATGCTCATGGATTGGAAGAATTAATATTGTGAAAAATGACCATCCTACCAAAAGGAATATAGAGATTTAGTGCAATCCCACTAAAATCCCCAAGACATACTTCACAGAATTAGAAAAAAAAAATCCTTAAATTTGTATGGAAGCACAAAAGATCCCAGATAGCCAAAGCAACCCTGAGCACAATGAGCAATGCTGGGGGGATTACTATACCAGATCTCAAAGTATACTTACTACAGAGTATACTACATAAAAACAGTGTGGTACTGGCACAAAAGTAGACACATATCAATGGAACATCACTAAAGATCCAAACCTGAGTCATGCAATTTCAGCCACCCGATATTTGACAAAGGTGCCAAGAACACACAATGGAGGAAAGACAGCATCTTCAACAAATGGTGCTGGCGAAACTGGATCTCCACCTTTAGAAGAATGAAACTAGATCCTTATCTTTCATCTTGCACAAAAATCAACTTCAAATGGATCAAAGACCTCAATGTGAAACTGGAAACTCTGAAACTATTAGAAGAAAATATTGGCAGTAACCTACAAGATATAGGTGTAGGAAAGAGCTTTCTAAATCGAACACCAGTTGTTCAGGAATTAAGATCAACACCAAACAAGTGGGACCTCATTAAACTAAAAAGCTTCTGCACAGCAAAAAAGAAATCAAGAGAGTGAAGAGAAAACCCACAGAGTAGGAAAAAGTCTTCACCAGTGACACATCTGACAGAGGTTTAACATCCAGAATATTTAAAGAACTCAAAAAACAAAGAATCAAGAAAACAAATGACCTAATTAAAATATGGGCTAAAGATCTAGACAAAGAGTTCTCAAAGGAAGAAATAAAGATGGCTAAGAAACATCTTAAAAAGTGTTCAACATTGTTAGTAATTAGGGAAATGCAAATTAAAACCACCTTAAGATTTCACCTTACCGCAGTCAGATTAGCTAAAATCAAGAGAACAAATGATACCAAATGCTGGCAAGGATGTGGCGAAAGTGGAATGTTCCCTTACTGCTGGTGGGATTGCAAACTCATGCAACCCCTATGGAAAGCTGGGAGAATTCATAAAAAACTAAAAACAAACTTGCCATATGACCCAGTTATACCACTCCTTGGCATATATCCAAAGGGCTCATCTTATTGCAGAGACACTTGTACAACCATGTTTGTTGTTGCGCTTCTCACAATAACTAAGAGATGGAAGCAACCTAAGTTCCCCTCAACTGACGAGTGGTTATTGAAAATGTGGTACATTTACACAACGGAGTTCTACTCAGGGTAAAGAAATGAAATAATGAAGTTTGCAGGTAAATGGATGGATCTAGAATGTTATACTAAGTGAAGTAACACAGACTAAGAAAAATAAAAGACATATGTTCTCCCTCATTTGTGGATCCTAGCACCAAATCCTTATAAGTGAGTGCATATCCTGATGTAACTGCAGGAACTAGGAAAATGGAAGGAAACCGGGGAGGCAAAGGGAAAGAAGGAACCCAAGAAAGAAGAAATGAAGGAGACAGGCGTTACTAAGGGAGAAATGTGTAAAAAGGGGGGAGTTAACAGGGAAGAGGAGAAGGGGGCTATACAAGGAACTATGGAAGTAAACAGGAAGAAGGAACTCAAAAGAGGTGGGACCATAGCATACAAAAATTATCAAGGGAGAAATGGGGAAAATGGGGACACTTTAAATGGGAAGTGCAGAGAGGGAGGATAAAACAAGGAGAGAAAGAAGAGACATAAATAGGCCCTAGCTAATATTTAAAAAAAAAGAGGGAATCATATTAGTCCAAAAACTGACTGAAAATTATACATAAAATATCCCTACATGAGTCCGTGAATATAGCTGAAGACTACATAACAAGAAACAGTGACAGACAGGAGAAACCTTCCTTTGAGTTCTTTTGCCAAGAGTCTCCCAAAATTACACAGGCTATTGCCACAGTCCTTGATTGCCCCCAGAACTTGATGGTAAGACCCTATTGCTGAAGACTGGACATACTCCGAACTCTGGATTTGGAGCAATGGAGCTGGAACTGACCTGGAAGCCACCTCTCCTTGAAGACTAGCTCTCATAACTTTGGAGAGCACTATGCAAGCTGGTAAGGGAGAA